CCCAAAGTCCACTTCCTCAATTTGGGATGATTCGTTGTCTATTCAGGTATTCCACAGATGCAGGGTACATCAAGTTGACTGTGGAAATTTAATCCGCTGCTCCTGAGGCTGCTGGGAGACATTTCCCTTTCTCTTCTTTGTTTTCACAGCTCCTGGGGTTCAGCTTTGAATTTGCCCCTGCCTCTGCGTGTAGGTCACCTGAGGGCGTCTGTTCCCGCCCAGACAAGATGGGGTTAAAGGAGCAGCTGATTCAGGGGCTCGGGCTCACTCGGGCTGGGAGGAGGGAGGGGTACGGAGTTCGGGGTGAGCCTGCGGCGGCAGAGGCCACTGTGTTGCATCAGCCTTAGGTTTGCCATGTGTTCTCCCAGGGAAGTTGTCCCTGGATCACGGGACCCCTGGCAGTGGCAGGCTGCACAGGCTCCCGGAAGGGGGGTGTGGATAGTGACCTGTGCTCACACAGGCTTCTTGGTGGCAGCAGCAGCAGCCTTAGCGTCTCATGCCCATCTCTGGGGTCCACGCTGTTAGCTGTGGCTTACGCGTCCATCTCTGGAGCTCCGTTCAGCTGTGCTCTTAATCCCCTCACCTCGTGCACCAGGAAACAAAGAGGCAAGAAAAAGTCTCTTCCCTCTTAGGCAGGTCCAGACCTTTCTCCGGACTCCCTCCCAGCTAGCCGTGGTGCATTAGCCCCCTTCAGGCTGTGATCACGCCGCCAACCCCAGTCCTCTCCCTGCATCCGACCGAAGCCCAAGCCTCAGCTCGCAGCCCCCACCCGTCCCGGCGGGTGAGCAGACAAGCCTCTTGGGCTGGTGAGTGCCGGTTGGCACCGATCCTCTGCGCGGGAATCTCTCCGCTTTGCCCTCCACACCCCTGTGGCTGCGCTCTCCTCCGCGGCTCTGAAGCTCCCCCACTCTGCCACCCGCACTCTCCGACCGCGAAGGGGCTTCTAGTGTGTGGAAACCTTTCCTCCTTCACAGCTCCCTCCCACTGGTGCAGGTCCCGTCCCTATTCTTTTGGGTCTGTTTTTCCTTTTTTCTTTTGCCGTACCCAGGTACGTGGGGAGTTTCTTGCCTTTTCGAGGTCTGAGGTCTTCTGCCAGCATTCAGTAGGTGTTCTGTAGGAGTTGTTCCACATGTAGATGTATTTCTGATGTATTTATGGGGAGGAAGGTGATCTCCATGTCTTACTCTTCTGCCATCTTGAAGCTCCTCCTTCCTCCTGTGTTCTCTTATACAGGAGTATATTGGCTCCTAAGTGTGGAAGAGTGTAAGCTTTACTGACTTATATTTCATGAAATAGCATTCTTTTGGTACTTTTTTTGGGTATGCTTAAGCTAAAATCACAGACCAACCAAGTTCATAATCACTCAAAAATAATGTAGAAGTGTTAACAGTTTAACACTTACATTAAATTCAAACTAAGTTTATTAATTGAGCCTGAGGAAGGAAGTAGTATAGCTTAGCTTACCCATTTTCTTTTTATGTCATACTTGAGAAATTTGTTGAAGCTACATCCTGTCTTCTCTTTCTTGTCATCCTCTCTTCTTCTGCTTTATTTCATGAAGGCTGCATCCTGGACCCAAACGTCGCTTACCCGGCACGTCAGTGACCACTTATGCATATCAGTTGTGATTTGACAATCATAATTGCAAGGTTTTTCTTTTAGAATGTGTCTGCTGAATGTGGATCAAATTGTAACTGACTTTTTTACTTGAAAATATCTTAGAGATTGCTCTAGAGTTTTTCCTTTAATTAGAAATTAAAATCACACATAAATACACAGCTTTAGAAATCCATTAAAAGTATTTACAATTAAAGCTTCTTGGGCTTCCCTGGTGGCGCAGTGGTTGAGAGTCCGCCTGCTGATGCAGGCGACACGGGCTCGTGCCCCGGTCTGGGAAGATCCCACGTGGTGTGGAGCAGCTGGGCCCGTGAGCCATGGCCACTGAGCCTGTGCGTCCGGAGCCTGTGCTCCGCAACGGGAGAGGCCACAACAGTGAGAGGCCTGCCTACCGCAAAAAAAGAAAAACAACAAAAAAAGCTAGGATCATTAATTTATCCAGCTAAAATATAAATACAACTATTGGAAAAGCAAAGATACACAGTGCTTTGTAGTATTTGAAACATTTTATTATGGTTACATTCCTACTTGTTACTAAATCACTATGATCACTGCAAATATCACTTATATCTTGTTTCCTACTTTGAAAAGCAGAAGTAGTAATTACTTTAAGGAGATTTCTGTTAAAAAGTCCTGTCCCTGTACTACAGTTAAAGGACATAATTCAAAAAGCTGGCAAGGAAGAATATAATTTTATTTTGCATTTCATAAAGGATAATTAGTTGAAGTCTATTGTAATGTCTGTGAAATTATTTGATAGAACTGATGCCTATTAATGATAAAAACTTTGATTTCTATTATGACTATGTTAAAATGTCTTAACTTTCCAAAGGTCTTGCTGTTTAATATACTACATTTCAATTTATATGCCTGTGTGGAGACTGTATTTAGGACTCAAATTTTACCTTTGACAGTCCTCCATCTGGCAAGCTTTTCTTTCTCTCCTCCTTTGTAAATTAAGATCTCAGGACACTAATTTGAAAGATTCCAATTAAAGAAGCTTGGTATTGGGCACAGATCTTGACTTAAAAGGCTATCAGAACCACGTTCAGGTCCTGGATCTGCTACTTAACTAACTATATGTGGTTCTGGACAAATTATTTCACTTCTCTAAGACTTGGTTTTCTCATCTGAAAAACAAGCATAGTAACACCTAATTCAGGATTATTGTGAGGCATGTACAGAAGGCATTCCACAGTTCCATGTAGGCTTTCAGTAAGTGTTACTAATAATCCCTTTTTATTCTCTTCCACATTTTTTTCCCTTGGTAGGGGGATGGTTGTTTTAAGCAGGGATCCTTCATTTAATTTTAGACAGTGAATTTTAGACAATTCAAAGGGGTTTATAAGTAAAGTCTGAAGTTTGAGTTACAGAAAATTGGATTGTGATACTCTGCAAAAACTAAGGATGTCAGACTGCTCAATACTTCAGTTTTATGAAGTCTACTAGAAGCTATGAAGCAAGCCACAGGAGTGTACATTGGTAGAGAAGTCAGCCATGATTTTTTTGAACCTTTGCACTAAAAAGTGTATAATACACTTTTTAAAATATAAACTTATTTATTTTTGGCTGCGTTGTGTCTTCATTGCTGCGTGTGGGCTTTCTCTAGTTGCGGCAGATGGGGGCTACTCTTCACTGTGGTGCGTGGGCTTCTCATTGCCGTGGCTTCTCTTGTTGCAGAGCATGGGCTCTACGTGCACGGGCTTCAGTAGTTGTGGCTTGTGGGCTCAGTAGTTGTGCCTTGTGGGCTCTAGAGCGCAGACTAAGTAGTTGTGGCACACAGGCTTAGTTGCTCCGAGGCATGTGGGATCTTCCCGGCCCAGGGCTTGAACCCATGTCCCCTGCATTGGCAGGTGGATTCTTAACCAATACGCCACCAGGGAAGCCCAAAAGTGTATAATACACTTTTGAAGTAGTAACTCCTGAAGACTGATTTTGTGTCTGCATTTCATGAGGAAGCTAACCTTATTCACAGAAATTTCTGTTATTTAGGGGGTGGTATTAATGTTTAAGATAGTAGAAGGAGTTGTCATTAATTGGTTTGATGGAATTTGTTTATTAGAAATAATTTTTAGAATTTGTTTTTTTAGATAGGTTGGCAATATATGAACTTTTAAAGTAATCTAGTAATTATGCAGATTATATTAAAATGTGTACCTTTAGAAGATCTAATTGTGATCATAGCCTTTTGATACATGGAGCACTTTATTTCTGATTATTTTTTTAAAATAATGTCCTTGGGACTTCCCTGGTGGTCCAGTGGTCAAGGCTTTGAGCTTCCACTGCAGGGGGCACGGGTTCGATCCCTGGTTGGGGAACTAAGATCTTGCATGCCGTGTAGGATGGCCAAAAATAATGATAATAATGTCCTTAATTGAGATCCCACTGAACCTAAATAACTTTTCATCATGCTATATATTTTTTCACTTAACACAGTATATTGTCCATGAGAAGAATTATCACAAAACTAAATTTGTGGTAATTCTCTAATCCATTTTCTGTTCTTTAGTTTTCCGCTCTTGATGGCATAAAGCAAGCTCACTTATCTAAAGCATTTAGAGAATTTCTTTATACAGAGTAAATACATATTTGGTATTTGTATTATGGTTAAGGTTTTCCAGGAATTAAAAGTATTGTGTGGCTGTGATATTTATTACTTTGTTTGCCAGCTTGATCCATTTAATAAAAGGACTGGTTTGGAGACAAGTGTGTAGGGGGGATTGGGAACTTGTTGATTCTTCACATTATGAGTATCTGAGGGACAGCACTTCTGAAATTTTTTTTTAAAGGAAACAAATGAGCTTTGAATGTATTATTTTAATGAAAAGTTAAATATGTGATATTAGCATCTATCTTCATCGAAATTGGTTGGCCATATAGAATGAATTACTGTTTTTATATCCTAAAATGTGAAGCAAAATAAAGCTTCCTAACCTTCCTCGTATTGCTTAATTTCAAGAGTGTATTCTCTCTACCTTCTGCAAGGTGGTAATTGGAAACAGATAAATATATTTAAGTAAATGTAACACAATTCTTTGAGAATTCTATTATATTCATTACAAATTTTTAAAGCATGATACAATCACAAGGCTAGGGTCAGTAATCAATAGAATAAAGAAGTGTTGGTACATAACAAACTTACTTGCTTTTTCCACTTCATATTAGAGTCATTCTTCTCCTTTCCCAACTCACAAATAATAACATGGGGGACAGGGAGCAGATAGTAGGAAGGTAGCTGTCAAATTTAAGCAGTAAAACTCCAAAAATAAGCCCATTTGTTAGCCTATGTAAAATTTAACTAATTTAAAGGAGACTCAAAGAAGTTTGTTTAGCTTCCCATCCTTCAAAATTGTGTTTCTTTTCTGCTTCATTCTTTCTTTCAGCATAAAGATGCTTATCAAGTGATATTGGATGGTGTCAAAGGTGGTACCAAGGAAAAAAGATTAGCAGCTCAATTTATTCCAAAATTCTTTAAGCATTTTCCAGAATTGGCTGATTCTGCTATCAATGCACAGTTAGACCTCTGTGAGGATGAAGACGTATCAGTAAGTTTATGTTTGACACTTTTCAACAAGTTTTCAGATGTTGCTTTTGCCATTTTCAGATATTTTCTGCGTGTACCTAATATAACTGAAGTACCAATCATATCAGTGAACAATAAAATACTGCAGTGTGGCCTGGTGTGACAACATACCAAGGCTTAAACCTACATGTAAGAAAATATATTAGTTCTTTCAACTGTGAAAAATCTGTAGAATCACATAATACTTTGTTTTGCTTATTTGTTATCCACTGTTGAAAATGGTTGTGGCTCACATCTTTTCCTAAGATTATTATGCATTATGCATATGAAATCAGACTAGTGTTAGTTTGTAGTCAATTTATGCTTGCTTGGATATTTAAAATAATAATAGTATTGCAGCATAAAATATAGTTTTAACACCCCTAAATATTTTGCATAGCAGAAAAATAATTGACCTGTGAAAAAAATTGTATGTGATTACTAGACTAAAAAGAAATAGTTTTTGCTTGGAACAGAATTAACCATTAGCATTTCTGGCTGCTGATACAGGTTCCTAAGAATTTTCAACTGTTAGCCCCTGGCTTTTCAAATGAAATCATTGAGTCATGATTTCATGCATAATTTGTTAGATTTAACTCCCTTGCACTTTTATGTTAAACTAGATAAGCCACGATCGCATATTTGGAATGAAGTTCACAGAATGTATTCATAAATGTATTAAATAGTCAATACTGAAAATTCTAAAGTAAATAGTTATTAGATATGACATTGACACTGTAGCCATTCTTGAGGGATACAGTATTACGTACCCACAGGTAGTAAAAACCCAACAGTTGTGTATAATCAGCATATAAACTGTTGTTTATAATCTCAAATCTGCCTACTCCAGATAATTGTATTTAATGTCCCTTTCCACCACATTTTGTTTTAGTATTCTGTGAAGCTTTGAATATTAAATTGGAGTAAATTATTTCTAAAACTGCTAAAAATCTCATATTTTTGTGACTCATATGCCCCTATATGGTTTGTCTGTGGTTTTTGTTTTCTTTAAAGGTTGAGGTTGTTTTTATTTATGATAGTATTTGGTTAATTTTTTGTTTGAAATTATGTTCAGATTCGACGGCAAGCAATTAAAGAGCTGCCTCAATTTGCCACTGGAGAAAATCTTCCCCGAGTGGCAGATATACTAACCCAACTTTTGCAGACAGGTAAGGAATTTTATTAATACCCTTTTATCTAAATATAAATTCTCTCTGAAATAATGACTCTGTTTTTCTTAGCTTTTTTTTTTTTCCTGAAGGTGCTACCTCTGATAGAAATTTAAATTCTCTTTTTTATTCAGTAGTTTGAAGCTTACTGACTTGTGATTATCTAATTTCTGGTTTTGTTTTGAATTCTGTTTATAAAGGTATAATGACTGGATTCTTTGGGGAATTTTTATTCACCACCATCCCCCCCCGCCCCCTAAATTCCTGTAGTTTCTCAATTGTACCATCTTAACATAAGAGCTTTACAGGTACACTAGATCAGGTTCTCTACCCTTACAAGAAAGATGTATTTTCTTGGTACTTGAGAGAAATGCTTAGTTATATGTCTCCTCTCAATGTAATCTGTGAGAAACTATGTTGAGTCTTAAGTTTGAAAATGAAGCAGATGATATTTTTCATTTCTTTTATACATTGTACCACTTTTTTTCTATCCAGATGACTCTGCAGAATTTAACTTAGTGAACAATGCCCTATTAAGTATATTTAAGATGGATGCAAAAGGTAAGGCCACTTCTTGTTCTGAATTGTGTTTGATGTCCTAAAAAATTGGGGAGTTTGGCAGTACTCATTAAGGATAAAGTCTGGGACTCACCCAGACGTCTGTTTCATAAAAATTCTAAGTACTCTCCAAAAAAAGCTTAGCTCAAGATGTTTGTGACTCGAAAAACCAGCAGAAATAATTGCAAAAACAGATCAAACTTTTCCCTTAGAAGTCTGTTGGAAAAACTCCCTTTGCCACTTTAAAGAAATTCTTCCAAAATATCTGAGTTTATTTATTATTAATAGTGTTAGAAAAAGAAAGTCATGCTCAAGCTGATTCTGAATCCGTGAACAAAGCATATGGTCACTCTTATGGTTGGGGCTTTAGAAATTTCAGACAGTTTAACCAGTATCAGTGATATTCAGGAAGTTTATTAATTCACTTGAAAAGAAATACTGTAATTCAAATTAACTTGAAAAATTTCATTCCTATATAGAATTGACTTGCTACATGCAACTGTTTTGTTCTGCAGGGACTTTAGGTGGCTTGTTCAGCCAAATTCTTCAAGGAGAGGACATTGTTAGAGAAAGAGCAATTAAATTCCTTTCTACAAAACTTAAGACTTTACCGGATGAAGTCTTAACAAAGGAAGTAGAGGAACTTATACTAACTGAATCCAAGAAGGTAAGCTTCGGTTATCTTTTAGTGAACTTCTCTAATGCACAAGAACATATTTGAAATTAGCCGTATTCATCAGTGCTGTATGTAGCTTGTGTATAAGGTGATATATCCCATAAGAACCACCGTAGAACTTCAAGATTTTCTTATGTTGTGCTTTGCACTTTGGTCACTTGTAGTGATGAATCAGTGTGTTAATTTAAAGGGTTTGATCACATTTAAATCCTTTGTGGTGTTATCCTTAAAATTTATGCATTCATCAGGAAGGAATCATTTCCTTCAGGAATTTTTACCTAATTCCCGCCCTTCCTCCCTGATTTTAGGATATTCTCCCATAGTATTCTGGATCATTTCAGAATGAAACTGAAGTCACCTTGAAATGACCTGTTGTTTCATCCTATCCCATGACACTATAAGCTCTAGAGACCATGCTTATTTGTGCTCCCAGCGCTGGCATAGTTACAGTTGCTAAGATTTGAAAGGTGCGTCACAATTAACTTTTCATTCATACAGTGCCAACGTTTGGGAATAATTTATTTTTATGTGTTGAGGAAAATTCAAAATTTTCTCTAATAGCACCACTCACTTGCTTATTGATAAGATTTCTTTAGTGAGAGAGAAAGGAGCAGCATATTTCACCTATGCCCCAGCTAGTTATCTGGTGGGATATGTCATGATTGCTTGCTCCTTTGGTCAGTGAACAGAAAGGCTTAGACCTACTGATATGGAGCGCTTAAAATTTGCATGGTCTCCTGTTTTGTATACAATTACCATATTAATGTGAATGAGGCTGCTTTTAAATATAGGGAACTGAGTCTGATTTAACAGTTTATTGCCACATTTTCTCCATCTTTTTTTGGCTATCACCCCCTGAAGAGCCTTTTTAGATATTTTTTCCCTTAGCCACTATCCCATGAAACTTTAATACCACAGATATACTGTATATCTGTTTATGTACTGTATGTATATCTGAGCTTTATATATAAAAGAAGAGTAAAATTTTCCAAGAACCAAATTTTGTTCCATTGGAAACAGTGTAGCGCACCATTGAAAATACATGGCTTATTCTGAAGCTAACTTGACTGAAGCTTGAAGTTGTCCTCTATTCAGTATTTCAGGAACATTAGCAGCAAACTGACTTTGCAAAACAAATTTGCTTTGCTGTTTCAGTATTGATGTTTCTTTCCCATTCAAATGATAAAGATACTAATAACTGTTCTGAATCGTCTCTTTCCAGGTCCTAGAAGACGTGACTGGTGAGGAATTTGTCCTGTTTATGAAGATACTATCTGGGTTAAAAAGCTTACAGACAGTGAGTGGAAGGCAACAACTGGTAGAGTTGGTGGCTGAACAGGCTGATCTGGAACAAACCTTCAACCCCTCGGATCCTGACTGTGTGGACAGGCTTTTACAGTGCACTCGGCAGGCGGTACCCCTCTTCTCTGTGAGCTCTTTGTTTTATATACCTGGTATTTTGATTACTCTATTAGCTTAAAATTCTATAGATATACACTTGAGCATTCTTCTCAAACCTTTGTATAAAAGTATTAACCCAATGGAGCTATTATTTATTTTATGGAGGCCTAGGTGAAGAGCCCAAAGCAGCAAGAAATTTCTATATAGTCTTGCTTAGGGACTTTTTAAAAGTCTTGAGATTTTGCATCATACTTTATAGTTTCACTGAGTTTTTAAAGCACTTAGTTTAGTAATTCAACTTTTTTTTTCCTTAAATTTTTTAGATTGTTGTTGTAGGTGTATTTGCTCTTTATCTCTGGCTTTGTGCTTCCTCTGGCCGTGAATCTTCTGAGATGTGCATAGCACAGTTTGAAAAACACAATTTAAAGGAGCTGTCCTGGTACTTCCCTGGTGGTACAGTCGTTAAGACTCAGCACTCCCAACGCAGGGGACCTGGGTTCGATCCCTGGTCAGGGAACTAGATCCCACGTGCATACCACAACCAAGGAGCCTGTGAGGTGCAACTAAGGAGCCCGTCTGCCACAACTAAGACCCGGCACAGCCAAATAGATAAATAAATGTTTTTTAAATAAATAAATAAAGGAGCTGTCCTTCTAAAGGGAGAATGTACAGTCTAAAATTCAACACTAAAGTTTCCCCTGAAATTTGACCTGAGAATCAAATAAGAGTTGAAAGATGTATAAAAGTCCCAATGCTCCAGATTACTTTGCAACAAAGTATATATTGTCTATTGAGGTTACTCCTGGAGTGCTTTGGGGTATGCACTCTGTTGTATTTCAGCCACAGTACTTGATGCTTTGGTACTGAGCATTTGTCTATTGACATTCTACTGTTTGGGAGAATATAATATATGTATATCTATATATTTTTTTGACAATTCAGTGTTCTTTGGATTTTTACAGAAAAATGTTCATTCCACAAGGTTTGTGACTTATTTCTGTGAGCAAGTTCTCCCTAACCTCAGTTCCTTGACTACCCCAGTGGAGGGTCTTGATATACAGTTGGAGGTAAGAGAAAATTTCTGCTTTTAGCACTGAAAAGTCATTCCCGTATTTCAACATAAATGTAAACCACTAACTTTGATCTGATTTCTAAGAGATTTAAGGCCTGGTGGTGGCTAGCTAGTAACCTCTCCCAGGATTAATTACATAGGAATGCTTTATGGATTCTTTGAGAGTTTGCTACAGTAGGAAAGCACCACCTATAGTTTTCACTATAGTCTAAGTCTCTGCCTTTGTAGCCTTAATACTTTTAAATACGTTGTTCAATTATGACAGTTCCTATCTCTATGACTGATAGAGCCAGATTTAACTGATTAACACAAAACGTCCTTTATCCGTTCTCCAATAGAATTGACTACTCTCTATCCCCTTTATATCTCAACTGTGATGTACATATACATTTTTTTTGCAGCATATAAAATACTCACATTTTTCTCCCCAATTTAACCTTATTCCTCTCTGAATCCTCAGAATCTAATGTAGAATTCTGAAAAGCACCTAGTAATGATGATTGAATTGAAATATGGAAATGTATGTGCCATTTCCTTCATGGGTCTTTAGGATAGAGAAGAGTCTCACTGTGCACTTACACTGTGGTTTCCTTCACATGTCCTGGGTTTGGCTTATCAGACTGGAATTGAGTAAAGCAGAGATGAACCTAAAGAATAGTGGCAATTACTGATACTTTGAGTTAGTATCCAGAGACTAAGTTTGATAGCAAAGGAGGCCCATCCTAAATGTTAGTAAATAATTCTTTGCTGTTAAGAGTTCTTGCTCATTGTCTCTTTCTTATACATTGTTAACCTGTAGCAGAAAGTGTATATTCTTTTCCTTACCAATTCTCACAGATATATTGAGAGTCATGAGAACTGGGTTTTAGAGTCTACCCTGCCACTCACATACGTTGTGACTTTGCCAAGTCACATAATCTCTCTGACCTTCAGTTTCCTCAACAGTAAAATAGGGCTGCATCTCTAAATTTTTTTTCCAGTTCAAATGTTATGATTCTGTAAAAGCCTAACTGAAAAATAAGCAGTATTAAATAGTTATGTAGAATAATTATTATTTTATAACCCTTGCTCATTCAAAAAGAATGCTAATAACAGTGAATTGTGTGTTTTAGGTATTGAAACTGTTGGCTGAAATGAGTTCATTTTGTGGTGACATGGAAAAGCTAGAAACAAATTTAAGGAAACTGTTTGATAAGTTATTGGTAAGAACTTTTTTCTTTCCTTATGGCATAGTCAGTATACAGCCCCAAAGTCTAATAGTGTAGTATTAATTTCTAGATTATAGAGAACCAGATTTTGAAATGATTTAGATAATAATTGTAGTGTTGTTAGCTGCTCAGACCACACGTTGTCTACTTTAAAAATAAAATCTGTTTTAATCTTAGGCATTTCTTCTGTTGTTGATGCTTTAGACAAAATATAATACAGGATTTATATAGTAAGTCTTTCTGCTATTCCTTTATCAAAATATTTTAAATGTTTGCACCAGATCACCATCAAGATTGCTGCTCAAGGCCAAATGGCTTTAGCAACCTGGAAATAAAGTCATTAATCATAATTGTGGAGAAAATAAGCCATCTTTTTTAGTTTTTAATTGGAGTATAATCGCTTTACAATGTTGTGTTCATTTCCACTGTACAATGAAGTGAATAAGCTATATGTATACATAAAACCCCTCGCTCTTGGACCTTCCTGCCAACGCCCCCCATCCCACCTGTTTAAGTCATCACAGAGCACTGAGCTGAGCTCCCTGTGCTATACAGCAGGTTCCCACTAGCTATCTCTTTTACACATGGTAGTGTTATTTATGTCAAACCTAATCTCCCAATTCGTCCCACCCTTCCCTTAGCCACCATGTCCACATGTCCGTTCTCTACCTCTTCATCTCTATTCCTGCCCTACAAATAGGTTCATCTGTACCATTTTTCTGGATTCCACATATATGCGTTAGTATGTGATATTTGTTTTTCTGGCTAACTTCACTTTGTATGACAGACTCTATCTAGGTCCATCCACCTCACTACAAGTAACTCAATTTCGTTTATTTTTATGGCTGAGTAATATTCCATTGTATATATGTGCTACACCTTTATCCATTCATCTGTTGATGGACACTTAGATTGCTTCCATGTCCCGGCTGTTGTAAATAGTGCTGCAGTGAACATTGTGATACATGACTCTTTTTGAATTATGGTTTTCTCAGGGTATATGCCCAGTAGTGGGATTGCTGGGTGGTATGGTAGTTCTATTTTTAGTTTTTTAAGGAACCTCCATAATGTTCTCCATAGTGGCTGTATCAATTTACATTCCCACCAGCAGTGCAAGAGAGTTCCCTTTTCTCCACACCCTCTCCAGCATTTATTATTTGTAGATTTTTTTGATGATGGCCATTCTGACAGATGTGAGGTGATACCTCATTGTGGTTTTGATTTGCATTTCTCTAATGATTAGTGATGTTGAGCATTCTTTCATGTGTTTGTTGGCAATCTGTATATCTTTGGAGAAATGTCTATTTAGTTTTCTGCCCATTTTTGGATGGGTTGTTTGTTTTTTTGATGTTGAGCTGCATGACCTGCTTGTATATTTTGGAGATTAATCCTTTGTCATTTGATTTGTTTGCAAATATTTTCTTCCATTCTGAGGGGTGTCTTTTCATCTTGCTTATGTTTTCCTTTGCTGTGCAAAAGCTTTTAAGCTTTTAAGTTTCATTAGGTCCCATTTGTTTATTTTCATTTCTATTTCCATTACTCTAGGAGGTGGGTCAAAAAGGATCTTGCTGTGATTTATGTCATAGACTGTTCTGCCTGTGTTTTCCTCTAAGTTTTATAGTATCATTTAGGTCTTTAATCCATTTTGAGTTTATTTTTGTGTATAGTATTAGGAAGTGTTCTGATTTCATTGTTTTACATGTAGCTGTCCAGTTTTCCCAGCACCACTTATTGAAGGGGCTGTCTTTTCTCTGTTGTATATTTTTGCCTCCTTTGTCAAAGATAAGGGGACCATATGTGTTTGGGTTTATCTCTGGGCTTTCTGTACTGTTGCATTGATCTGTATTTCTGTTTTTGTGCCAGTACCATACTGTCTTGATTACTGTCACTTTGTAGTTTAGTCTGAAGTCAGGGAGCCTGATTCCTCCAGCTCCATTTTTCTTTCTCAAGATTGCTTTGGCTATTCAGTGTCTTTTGCATTTCCATACAAATTGTAAAGTTTTTTGTTCTAGTTCTGTGAACAATGCCATTGGTAGTTTGATAGGGATTGCATTGAACCTGTAGATTGCTTTGGGTAGTAGAGTCATTTTCACAATGTTGATTCTTCCAATCCAAGAACATGGTATATCTCTCCATCTGTTTGTATCATCTTTGATTTCTTTCATCAGTGTCTTATAGTTTTCTGCATACAGGTCTTTTGTCTCCTTAGGTAGATTCATTCCTAGGTATTTTATTCTTTTTGTTGCAGTGGTAAATGGGAATGTTTCCTTAATTTCTTTTTCAGATTTTTTTGTTTTTAGTGTTTGGAATGCAAGAGATTTCTGTGCATTAATTTTGTATCCTGCTACTTTATGAAATTCATTGATTAGATCTAGTAGTTTTCTGGTAGCATCTTTAGGATTCTCTATGTACAGTATCATGTCATCTGCAGACAGTGAAAGTTTTACTTTTTCTTTTCTGATTTGGATCCCTTTTATTTCTTTTCCTTCTCTGATTGCCTTGGCTAAAACTTCCAAAACTGCCCCTATCTCTTGTCTTTTTGATGATGGCCATGCTAACAGGTATGAGCCAATATCTCATTGTGGTTTTAATTTGCATTTCCCTAATGACTAGTGATGTTGAGCATCTTTTCATGTGCTTGTTGGCCTTTCGTATATCTTCTTTGGAGAAATGTCTGTTAAAGTTCTTTTGTCCATTTTTTGATTGGATTATTTGGTTTTTTGCTGTTGGGCTGTATGTGTATTTATATATTTTGGATATTAACCCTTTGTCAGATACATAGTTTGCAAATATATTTTTCTATTTCACAGGTTATCTTTTCACTTTGCTATATAGAAGCTTTTTAGTTTGATGTAGTCCCATTTGTTTTTTTTATTTTGTGGCTTGTGATTTAGGTGTCATATCCAAAAAATCATTACCATGACCCACATCAAGGAGCTTTATTCCTATGTTTTCTTCTAGGAATTTCATGGTTTCAGGTCTTACACTTAAGTCTTTAATCCATTTCAAGTTAATTTTTGTGAGTGGTGTAAGATATGGGTCCAGTTTCATTCTTTTACATGTACATATCTAGTTTCCCAGCACCATCTACTGAAGAGACTGTCTTTTCTCCATTGAATATTCTTGGCTCCCTTGTCAAATATTAGTTGACCATCTATGCTTGGGTGTATTTCTGGGCTCTTGATTCTGTTCCATTGGTCTGTTTCTCTTTTTTTATGCCAGTACTATACTGTTTTGATGACTGTAACTTTATAGCCTAGCTTGAAATCAGGAAGTGTGATGCCTGTTGCTTTGTTCTTTCTCAGGATTTCTTTGGCTATTTGGGGTCTTTTCTGGTTCCATATATCTTTTAGGAGTATTTTTCCTAGGAGCATCAACTTTTTTGTTGTTTTAAGTATAGTTGATTTACAATGTTGTATTAGTTTCTGGTGTACAGCAGAGTGATCCAGTTATATATATTCTTTTTCATATTCTTTTCCATTATGGTTTATTATAAGATATTGAATATACTTCCCTGTGCTATATGGTCGGATCTTGCTGTTTATCTTAATTTTATATATAGTAGTTTGTATCTGCTAATCCCAAACTCCTTTTTATCCCCCTCCTTTCCCCTTTGGTAACCATAAGTTTATTTTCTATGCCTGTGAGTCTGTTTCTGTTTTGTAACTAGTTCATTTGTATCATATTTTAGATTCCACATATAAGTGACATAAGATATTTGTTTTTCTGTCTGACATACCTCATGTGGTGCGATTATCTCTAGGTCCATCCATGTTGCTGCAAATGGCATTATTGCATCCATTTTTATGGCTGAGTCGTATTCCATTGTGTTTGTGTGTATGTGTGTGTGTGTACATATATATATATATATATACCACATCTTTGCCCATTCATCTGTTGATGGACATTAAGGTTGCTTCCATATCTTGGCTATTGTAAATAGTGCTGCTGTGAACATTGGGGTGCATGTATCTTTTTGAATTAGATTTTTCTCTGGATATATGCCCAGGAGTGGGATTGTTGGATCATATGGTAACTCTATTTTTAGTTTTTTAAGGAACCTCCATACTCTTTTAAGAACATCAACTTTTGATGTCAAACCCAGGTTGAATCCTGCCTCTTCAGCTTATTAACTTTGGGAAACTTACCTAAGCTCTCAGAACTTCAGTTTGTTCATCTGCCTAGTACCTAATAAATATTAGTCACTTTCACTGTCATTAGTAGTGGTAGTAGTAGTAGCAACTATACTATAGGTTAATATGGAATGTTGACAGGCTGGGTTATTGATCCAATATGTAAAAGGGATATCTTACTTAAATTTCTGATCTTGGCAGTTTTTAATGCTTCATGTCTTCAAAGCGTGCCTTATAATTACGTGAGTATATGCTTATAATTAGAGTGTCTAGAGCAGATTGCATACATCTCTCTATTTTCATCTCTTAGGAGTATATGCCTCTCCCTCCAGAAGAAGCGGAAAACGGGGAGAACGCTGGTAATGAAGAACCCAAGCTGCAGTTCAGTTATGTGGAATGTTTGTTGTATAGCTTTCACCAGTTGGGCCGAAAACTTCCAGATTTCTTAACAGCCAAGCTGAATGCAGAAAAGCTCAAAGATTTCAAAATAAGGTGATGTATGGTTGAAGTGGCCAGTCTTTGACAAAGGTGAAAGCTATCTTGAAGCTCCCTAGATTTTGTTTTCATTTTATAAGAGCTTTTTCCCCACCCTGCCTTACTGCAGTGCAGAAGAATGGAAGATCTACAAAACAGGAGTGTATATAAACATACAACTATTGTGGCATAGCAAATGCATGGGAGAAGATGACCTTTTTCAAAAATGGACTCTGGCTCTCCCTACTTGCTTCATGATCTTGGGCAGGTTCCCTAACCTCTCTAACACCCCAAATTGTCCTCAGTTGTTAAATTTATTGATAATAGTACCTGCCTTATAGAGTTGTGAGAATTAAATGAGACAATGGATGAAAAGCTTTAAGCACAATGCCTGGCACATAGTGGGTATTCAGTAAACTGTATCTGCTATTACTATCTTATAGTGTTATTAATATCTTACAGTGCAGCTGGAGGAGCAGCACTGGAGAAATCAATATAAGTCGTTTTCCTGAAGATACTTTGTATTAAATCATTGCATGAACAAATTCACATCTTAAGTTTTGAGATGCTTGGCCACTGTATCATCTGTTATTGTCCTCTATGCTTTGGTAAGGCAGAGGTTTAATACTTGGTGAAACGTTTGACCAGAAGCAGGCATCTTAGGAAATTACTCTGAAAGTGAAAAAAACAGCGATGCCACGTTGTTAAGTAGAGTTCCTAGAAGTCGGCAGGATGGAGTTACGGTACCACCTTTCTTCACATATTACCTGGGAACAAATTTGAAAAAGAGATTACTCAACATCCTTCGCAAAATCTGCAGTTTTATTTTATTTTTAAACTGGACCCTTAGGTGCAAATGGGTCAAACACTGTCCCTCCTTAGCAGGTAAACATAGAGATTAAGTGACTTGTCTGTGTCACTTGACCTTCATTTGGCTAGTGGAAGAGAAGAACCCAGGCCACCTGATTCTAGTCCCTGGCTCCTGGTTGTTTCTAATTTAGACACATACCTTGCAGGTTAACATAACAAGCTTCCTTAGCACCGTGCCAGAAGTGTTTCCCTTGCCAGGTTGAGTGTGGATCTATTCCAATTTTTGACGAAGAAAAACTGCTTTTATTTTACTTATTTGTGTATCTCTTATGATCATACATTGATAATTAAAAGAAAGTCCCCCTCAAAATTTACTCTTTATTGGTAAAGGCCATTTAGCTATAGTATTCTTTGAATTTAAAAACACAGTTGAGGTATAAAAGCAAAGTTGAAGTGATGATTTCTTAATTAGCAAATACTTCTTCATTTAGGCTGCAGTACTTTGCACGGGGCCTGCAGGTGTATATCAGACAACTTCGCTTGGCTCTCCAGGGTAAAACAGGCGAGGCCTTAAAAACAGAAGAGGTAAGAATACTCAGTTACATCTTGTTGGGAAATTTTTATGATAGCCACCATTTATTACAAATTCAGACTGAATTCATATATTGAAATGTAACATTCGACTTTATTTGAAGGATGATACAACTCTAAGTTGAAGATACAATGTTAGAAGACTACATCTTTAGTTATATGCTAAGTTATATAGGAAACTTTATCATTGTTGAAATGTCTTGAATGTTTCCAATGTTTGTGAACAATGTTATCAAATGTTGATGCATACCAGTCTTTCACTAGGGTCTCATTAGCAGCATATTTTGTTTAAATATTTGATTGGCAATTGTGATATTTTTAATTTCACCTTTTTGAAGCCCAAATATTAGTTTACATTAGAAAAAAATATTAAACTTCCAATTCTATACCAAACTATATGTGTTTATGTTGGGATTTTTGGTTTTCTCTGATCTCATCTATTTTGATCAATCTTCATCTTGGTCCTAATGAAATATTTTAAGTTTTCATTGTGTCTTCCTGTAACATAAACTGATATTTTTTTAAAACAACTGCTATGTGCCCATGATCTGTCCCCTACTCGTTTTTCAAGTAAATTGTAGATATAACACTTCTAACCTGTCAAGGGAAATAAAGATTATTTGCTTTCTTTGCCATCTCTACACTTGTTTTAGAGTCAAGAAATAGGATTGAGCATTATCAGTAAATATAAACCAAGGAATTCTCTAACTGTAGAAATGATTCTGAAAGAGAAGTGGAATTATTCAAGTTCTATACGGGAATGAAATATACATCATGAAAGTTATTGGCATTTTAATTTAATTTTGTTTTCCTTTTGCAGAACAAGATTAAAGTTGTTGCATTGAAAATAACAAATAATATCAATGTTTTAATCAAGGTAAGTCTTCCTTTCTTATCAAGTCATCCCAGCCAGCTAGAAAGTTAGTGCAAGAGGTTTTCCGTATGTCTTTATGTCTGCAATGGTACTGGTTAAGGAGAGACGCCATTACATTCCAGACGTTTGGCCTTTTAAAGCTTTATGCCTTTTATAACACCGAGTGATGTTTTTGTAGCTATTATAGAATAATACATTGTTTTATTTATTTAAAAGTTATTGCAGAAGATACTGCAAACAAAGGGAGGCATGCAGAGTTTTTCTGACCCAGAGCATTGAAGCAGATACATTTAGACTCAGAAATTTCACTGACTTAAGTTCTTGTAGTCTTAATACTATCGGGTCCTTTTGAATGACCAATAATACCCTGCTTTGCTTACACTAAGAATGAACAGTCTTATGTGGCACATGAAATGTTGTCCTGTGGTCTTTTCTGTTAACTTGTCTATGTAATAAATTGAGAGTTTTCTATACTTACCATTAAGCCATAAATATCCTTCAGTTCTGTTTACCCTCCCCAAGTATCTGTTAGCCTAAACAAAAAACTAATAACCTGAGAGAACAAAAAAGGAATCACAACAAAGTAGCCATCATTTGATACTGTAAGTTAACAGTACTGTTATAAGTTGATAGTATTGTAGCCAGATGGGAGAAAGAAATATTTGTAACACTTATAGCACAAAGCTTAACAGCAACAAAATCAGGGCTAGTGATATGCCTTAAAACTAATCTGGTAAAAATCCCATGGAATACTTACTTTTTATCAGAAGAGAAAGGGAAGCTTTTCAGAGAAAACAGTGAGGCATTGAGGGATGAGTATCATTGCCAACAGGAAAAGTGAAAAGGCATTAAAAACAGAAGAGGTAAGAATACTGACTCACATCTCAAAGAAAATTTTTATCATAGCCACCATTTATTTCAAATCTTAAATATAAATAATTTCAAATGGTGGATTAATACATTAAAATGTGAGATTTGACTTTATTTGAACTGATGCTATAAGTCAAAGTTGAAGATATACTATGATGTTAAGAACATTTTAAACTTAGCAAATACTATGACCCAACACATGGAGATGAGACAGTTTCCTGTTCAGGAAACCATAGTGATTTAAAGATGACTGCAGTAGGAAGTTGCATGGGGAAGAATGATGAATAGGGTCAGCAACCAATGTGTAGGGTGCCTGACCAAAAAATTCTGAAATATTTTTTTAATATGACATAATTCTTTGTTTTAGGGAAATCACAAGAAAAACTGGTATGCTTTGGTCCATCCATGGCATCTGCTTGCCATCTTTAGTTCCTACCTAACCAGACGCATCTAATTCCAAAATTTACCTTCACTTCTATTTCAGTGAATCCACAAACTATACTCCAGTTTCCCATTGTCACCTGAGATTTAACATGTTTAAAATTGAAGACTTCCCCCTTCTTCTTCCCGTTGACACTTTCTTAATAAATAACATTATTATATGCTAAATCACTCCAGCTAGAAACCTCAAGCATTTTTGTTTCAAAGGACTTTATATTGGCTAATTCCCTGCATTTATCTGGTACCCTGGACTTAAGTTTTATATAGTAGGAGGTGATTTTTATTCACATATTCATTTTAACTGTGAAAGAAACTTAGTTTACTTTTATCAGATTTTGCCTGTATATAAAAATTAGAGTAAAACTGGTAAGAAATGTTAGGTAAAATACCAAGAATAAATATATTTAGAAATTCATTCATAGTTTTGAGGGTATTATGAGGTTAGATTATTTCAGTTCTAGATTATGTTAACATTTAAATTCAGCAAATATTTGCATTACCTTATATTAATAATTTAGTACTTAAATCTTGTGGGTTTTTTCCTTATTGGTAATATATAGATATTTGAGGGGAAGAAAAACATGATTAGCCAGACCTTTAGTTTTGTTCTAGTTTTGAACCACTTAAAAACCTGCAAAAGCAAATGCAGGGTGCACCATTGTATCTTCCTTAAAGCACGTCAGTGACTGCTCCTGTGCAAAAGAAACTACTTGTGGATTTGATTAAAGTTGATAAATATTGATATTTTTGTCCTATAACTTGAAATGACATTTGAAAAAAGCTGCAGTTTCTTAAGTGATGTGTGCAAAATAACATTGAAGTAGTAGATGTAATTTGTAAACAAAATTGTCCTTGTTTACTTTTCTCTTGCAGTTTATTTTTTAGGTTATTATTTTAGTCATCAGCACAAAAGCAAGAAGGATAAATTAGTTTCCCGTCCTAAAATTAAAATGTGTCTCCCTGTTTCCTACCCTTACCACCACTCCCCGCACCACCAAACACATTAGAAATCTCTAATTTTGTCTCTTCAGGATCTCTTCCACATTCCTCCTTCTTACAAGAGCACAGTAACATTATCCTGGAAACCTGTACAGAAGGTTGAAATTGGGTAAGAAACATATGTAAAGGGATTAAAGTGTTCTAATATTTGATTTACAAATACGGAAAAATCTGAATTCAGATTTTACATTTCCTGTACAAAATGGTACGTTATTAGTTAAATGATTCTTAGTAAGATGTTAAACGATGATTATTAAAAGCATGACTTAAAATATAAAATCTAATCTAGTATTTATAAAATAAACTGGTAGAATACAACTCTGGAATTTTCAAGCCTTTGTCCGTATTGCTGTAACTTAATAAGACTTTCCTGACAAGTTTTATAAAATGAGTCACTTGTGTATAATCTGTGAAGCTACATATTTCAGATTGTTGTAAAGCCTTGTAAATGCCCCTCTGACAATGTCTGCATAACTAAAGCACAGTTAATTTGATGACATCAGAATGTTATTTCCTTTTTTCTGATGTGACTGTCATCTTTTGGATGTCTTTTGTAACAGATATAGTAAATATATTGATAGCCTCTGGTATAAAAGAATTTTTTTTAATTGCTGTTCTTCCTACCATTATAGGCAAAAGAGAGCCAATGAAGATACAACTTCAGGCTCACCACCCAAGAAATCTTCAGCAGGACCAAAAAGGGATGCCAGGCAGATTTATAATCCTCCTAGTGGGAAATATAGCAGCAATTTGGGCAACTTTAATTATGGTGAGCGTTTCCGTTTGGGTACAAGCAATATGAGAGATTAGGCAGAAATTGTGTTGTACTTGATTTTAATTACTAATTAAATAGACTATCATAGTTCTTTCAGGTGACTTTTCGAGTTAGTTTGGGGAACCTGAACTGTTGGGGAAACAACTCTTGTATTCAGAGGAGCCAACAGAAAAAAAAAGGAAGGAAGATGGCATGAACCATCTATTCCTGGTTTTCCCTGTTTTAGCTTCAAGGCAAGACATTTTGTGCATTCTCCCTCAAGAATGTATATAGCTTTCATTCTTGGCAGATGTGGTATTAATGATCCTTCTTGGCCTTAGTCAGCCTACTGCTTGTCCTCCCATCTTCTGCACTACTTCAAAAGGAGAAGTTCTAGAAGGTAGAGTGAGATGTTAAAGCATCATCTAGCAAAGAAGATGTGTCCTGTTGCAGTCTCCCCCACTGCCCAGAGTGCAGTCCTCCTTTCAACTTTAGACATTAGTGCAAGGAGAGCTTCCCACTAGTCCAGTCTCTCCCAGGACTGTTGAATCAGAAGTGAAGTTTGTCTCACTGGCTTATAAAGAAAAATGGACAAAAATTTCACTGACTCAGATCCTTAATCTTGCTTAAGAAGACCAAGTTTAATATTCAAAACCAAACATACTTGTGATTGGTCTTGGTTACCAAGCAGAATTGATTCTGCAGTAATTATTCCCAAAAAAGTACATTCTGAAGAATATGCTCTCTATAATTGTTTCTAGGGTGAGATGATTGTGACGTTAAGTAAATTCCTCCTACGATAGCTAAATTCCTCTAATATCTGAGCAAACAGATTATAGAAAGGCAATTTTAGATTGTGAAATGAACCCTTCTACTCCAGTCAGACTCTTTGAGGCAACTTTAGTGTAGAAAAGATCACTGAACTCTTTTACTTATATAATAATAAGTAAATGTGCATCTCTTAGCTTCTTTTCCTACCTGAAATAAAGGGATAACATAGAGCTTAAAAACTTCAAAAAATATTTGCAAAAGCATTTTTTAAATGGAAACGATGCTGTTACTTCATTGCACGAAATATTGTCCTCTGTCATTTGTATGATTTAATGTGGTGTTTATCAAAACCATTCTTAAAATCAACTATTCTCTCAGATACTATCTTCATTTGATATAGATGAAAGTAATCAAGAGGTATGGCAATACATAGAGAATTAAATTGTATTTATTTTCACTTAGGCAAGTCAGTTACTCTGAATTTCCGTAAGCATTTTGCCCTGTGAAATTCATTACCTGCCTGATAGGGAGAATCAGATGATGTGATGCATGTGGAAAAGAGATGTGGAAAATGCAAAGCCTTAGGTTGTATGTGATTTTTAAAAAATTATCAATGTGAAAAAAATAAGCAGTTTTACTCAGGACAAATATCCAGGGAATTCCCTGGCAGTCCAGTGGTTAGGATTCCACACTTTCACTGCCGGGGGGTTCGATCCCTGGTCAGGGAACTAAGATCCCACAAGCTGCACAGTGCAGCCAAGAAAAAAAAAAAAATCCAGGAGTCACAACCTGAGTTGTTCTGTAGTCCTCAAAGTAACGGAACGGCAGAACAGACAAAACCGTTGTCTTTTGTGTCTGGTATTCTTGTACTTTAATATTCCTATGGGGTGAACCTTGTAATTGGAGTGCTTGTCATAAATTGAATTACAAAGCAAACTAAACTCTGATTGTTCTTATTGGAAAGTAGGAACAAAATTTCTGCTAGTATTTTATTTTGGGGAGTTGAATGTGTCAGATTGTAAGTATTCTCATAGTAACAATTCAGAGAGTTTCCCTGGGTTTCTTTCACCCATTCGGTTGAAAACCGTTCTTGGTACTATAGATGAGAATGGTGGACCAATCTACCTCAAATTTTTTCTACCTTTTTTATGTCCTTTCCTTAGGGAACTGACAGTGGGTCAGGAAGAAGGAGAAACTGTTGGATTTTTTTTCCTGGGATGTCAGAGTTGTCTCAAAGTTGGAGGGAAAAAATGTTTTGTGTTCTTGAGTCTTTAATACATAGATTTTATTACCCACATTCGGCAAAAACATCATAATTCCACTTTTCTATATCAGCCAAGCTCAATTTTATTTTTCCAGGGAAGACTTGGTTGCATGGGGGGTTTTTTGGTTTTGTTTTTGAAGAGTCATACACACTGAAGGGTTGGGAAATTTACTCCTTTTGTGTTATAGGGAACCAGGTAATACTAATATCACTCTTATTACAGTGAACAAGTCTACTGCAAAGAAAATAGATTGTGCCAGTGTCATGGGCCTGAACTTGTTCACTACAGAGAAGGAGCCAGAATTTGTGATTGTTCTTTGAGTCCATGTAGGCATACTTAGACTTCTTTCCTTATCCAAGTTTATCACTTTACTAACCAATGTCTCTGTTATTTGCTTTATCAAATGGCGTTTGTTCCCGTAACTTAGTTCAGCTTCCTGGTGCATTTTCAGTCAAATTATTTGCAAACATATACCCATGTTTAGTTTTCCTTCGTGCAGAACAGAGTTCCCTGGTAACCCACAAGTACTAATTCTACGTTTTGTGACTTGGATCCTTCAACTTTTACCTTTTTAGAATATAAAAATAATTTTTAAAGTATAATTATAACTGTAAGCAGTGTTAGTAAGTTTGAAACCATTGAAAAGATCATTAAAGTGCAGAATAGTCCCTCAGGATGAAGAAAAAAGAAAGTTTGGTGACTCCCTGTACTGTAGAAATGGCTGCCTCGGTTGCAGATCAGAAAGAAATAGCCAATATAGAAAAGATAATCACAGCAAATAATACCTTCATACTATGTATTTAATATACTTATTAGATATACTGAACAATTGAGGGTAACTGAGTTCTTCATATTAAAATTGATTGAAAAACAATCGAAAGGGTAGATTTTAGTAGTCTGTTAGCTTATAGCTAATAATGATAGCTATGGGGGTGTTGATTTGTTAACTGTGTCGATGTAAACTGAGAAATGAAGGTTATATAATGAGTATGATAGGGGGAAAATATGCAGACATCTGCATGGGTAAAGCCAAGTCTTAAACAGTCAAAAATGCAGGAGTTACAGCATCAAGAAGTTGCTGTATTAAGGTTGCTATGCTCCCAGAATGCACCACAGTCATTGCATCTATCACTGGGAGTATCTTACCCACAGACGACCTCTGATTTTCTGAACGTGTTGGCTCACGATGGTTTCGTTTAAACAGTTTGCATACCAATCAACTTAGAAAAATGTGTCATGACATGAGAGGTGACTTTGAATCAGATTCTGTTCTGTTACACAGGTAAATGTTGGCTAAGCTGGGGAAAGGTCTAGTTAGTTTTCTAACTCAAGAGTTTCTGGAGGGAAAAAAAAAAAAGAAGAAATCAAAACATCACCCAAATACAGTAACTATATTTCTAGCCATAATGGCAAAAAATGGATTGCAACACTGACTTGATAGGAGTTTTTCAAGCCTCCAGTATTATGGATCAAAAATGGCAACACCAGATTCTTTTTATTGCTCCTAACAAGATTGCTGCAATGAGGAAGTTTGAAAAGTTCCAATGAGGAGATTCTATCTCCAGAATTAGAAGTTTGAGACTAACTTATACATGATGAAAAGTCCTGCCTTGCTGATAACTTCAATCAGTTTTCTTCACTGGAAAGACTCCTTTGAGGAATATTTCTCTGGAGCTGTAAAACAGACTGACCAATAAATCAAGGACTTAATCTACCATATGACACAAGTAACTTGATTTTTCAGCAAAAGATATCCTTAATTTACATCAGTAACCCAAACACTGTAATATATACATATCACCTTTTTGGCAGCACTCTGAGCAGCTCATACATAGCTGAAAAAGCAGTGAGGAAAGCCGTCGGAATTTGTATCAACATTATTTTGAAATATGGTGAGCAAAACAAATTGCCTATTTGTTGCATTTGAAAGGTACATTTTTCATTCTAGCCTGATTTTTCAGAATTGATCATTGATAGTCTAAGATATTTTACATATATGGCACTAACTTTTGAAGGCCAGTGGCTTTAATTCCATATTAAGTATAGAAATTTTTCTAGTTTTGTTAATTATCTTTGGTAGTGATAGACCCCAAAATAAAGAACTAACAATGTAGTTATAACATTGTCACCTTGAAATATCTTTATTAATGGGATACATTTAATTGAGTACCTACTGTGAATGTAGGCACCTTGCGATATGTGCTTTGGCATATATGATGCCCTGGTTTTATGTGAAGATTGAATTTGTAGATGGACTAGCAGAATACCGATGCTGTTTGTATAGAGCCTACTGCTGCATTCAGAGCTGCGAGCTACATTACTCCTGTGTGTGCTGTCCCGTGAAGTCCTGAACAAGACCTAAACCCTTGTTCGCTTTTTCGTAGAGCAGAGAGGAGCCTTCAGGGGAAGTAGAGGTGGCCGAGGTTGGGGAGCACGAGGAAATCGTAGTCGGGGAAGACTCTACTGAATGAGAAGTCACAGTCTTCAGCATTGTCTTGAGCTTAATATACTTAAATTCTACTACTCTACTCATTGGATTGCCGGGGATGTCCCTTTAAAAAGACTGCTGCCTTCAGCTAAAAACTTAATGTTCTTTATACCTTTGTATGTATGATCTACTTTTGTAATAGACCATGGTTGTGTCCAAGGTAAAACCACAGCGATATTTTTGGATGCTTTGTCTGCAATCTTGACTTGTTTTTGCAATATCACCGTTATTCAGACTTCATATTGTGAATCTTTTAAACATCTTGATAATTTGTTATTGAGAGCTATTCAAATCTAAAATGTAATAAAATTCAGTCTAGTTCTGATAACTGGTAAAGATCATCAGTTCTGAAAGGTTACTGACTTTCCTGTCCTCTCTGTCTTGCCCCCAGCCAACATATGGAGAAGAGTAATGGTCAGTCTTAACATTTTATTTTCATTGTTATTTAATAAAGCCGCTAGGCAATGGTGCAGCATTCCTGGCTTCTGTCAGTAAAGCAAAATACTTACCAGCTTTCTTAAAATGTAGAAATGACATTACATTTTTAGGAGGAAGTAAGTTGCTTTGCACTGCTTACTTACTCTTCTCCATATGTTGTGATATAAATTTTTGAGTATGGGATCTTACTATTTGCATAGAAATGTGTATGTATAATATACATACATACATGAGCATATATCTGTGTATGTGTGTGTGTGTGTGTGTATATATATATATATATATATATGCATGCTGCGAAACTTGACTACACAACATAAGTCATTTTTTAAAATTCCAGGAACGGGTAGTCTTTGACACGGTGATTATCCTTTTGAGGCTGAATCCATTATTAACTTGTTATCTAGGTTTTCCTTCCAGTAGTGAGGGCTTTTGAGTCAGTTGCACTTACATGATTATTGTTATTTAAAACTAAAAATAAACAAAGGCTGCATTTTCAAAGATAAATTTGGAGATCCCTGTTGGAGAAATACAGCCAGAATATTGAATCTGATGTACATATAGGTTTCTACAGGATGAGATAGAATAATTTAGAATTTGGGGATTTGATAACCAGGGCAGCCCAGAAAAAGTGACTTGGTAACATGGTATACCAGTAAGTAAGGGATGCTGTCTCAGTTTGCTTTTGCCACTTTCAAGATTTTAACTTCTCAGGTTATTAATCAAAATTATTGTATAAGTTAGTCAATAGAGTCTTTAGGTTAAAACAACAGATGGGGGGTTTGTGGAGTGTTTAATGTCATGGGCATTTTTAGTAGCATAGGCCCTTTGCTCTGCATTTGAATGTTTCATATATTTTTGTTCCACAGTTAATCTTCCCTCCCCAAGTTTGCTATTCAAATCCAATTCCTGAGTGACATTTTCTAGTAGTTTGACCTTTTTTTTGAGGCATAGTTTGTGATTCCAATACAGGTGTCTTCATTACTGTTACCTCTATACTGGGGGTATAGGCAAAACCCCTTTGTTAGAATTACTGCACATGTATATGGGGAAAATATTTTTTGAAGACTAGAATGATACAAGTGAGCAAAAGAAGTTGGTCAGCTTGACTATGGAGTGGTGGCAATAATCTCTAAACATTCCAAAAGACAGTGAGCTGAACCTAAGCTCCCTTGGAATCTGAGCAGACACAGGAACATGGAATTTCCATTTGAAAACTGTGACCAGGTAGCCTGGACCTCAACGGCAGATCAGCCAGTGGCCTAAAGCCATTTCAAGTATAGATGCTGTTTTGGGACAGTTATATAAATTTGAACATTAAGTGTAATTTTTCCTCTTTTTCTTTTTAATATTTGTAAACTCAAAGCTGAGCAGAAGTGACTTTACTTTCTAAAGTTTGATATTAAGTTGACTGTGTTCCTTCCTTTACAGCCTCATTGTTCCCCTTCCCTTTCCTAAGGCAGTAGTGCACAACTTAGGTTATTTCTGCTTCAAAACTTTGAACGAAAAACTTCATGCCACGAATTTTTTTTCTTTTGCAAGACACCTGTATATCCCCTTGTTCAAATGTAAATGTTCCCTTATGCTTTTGAAATAAATTTCCTTTTGTAATTTTGTTTTGTGTCTTGTGTTACGATTATAGCTTCAGATTCTTGGATATTCATTAAACATTTATTCATTGCTTCTCATGTGCCAGTGTGTTAGACCATGAAAATATAAAGATGGAAAAAATACTGCTCTGCTTTCAAGGGTTCAGTATTACAAGTTATCTTTCATTTTCAACCTTTTGGATTTATTTTTAGAAGCTAATACCCTTCTGAAAAAAGGATTTGGTTCTTTCTGTCAAAGCAAAACATCAGATACTTGCCAAATCATTATGAAATAATTTCTTCCCTCAAGTTATTATGTAAAGCAACTTCTTATTTTGACTCCCAGCCTTTATTTGTTTTCCTGAAGTAGCACCAAGGATGGATCAGAAAAAGTTACCTAAATTCTCTTGGTGATCACATCCAGTCCTATGCCTGTAATACCATCTACATGCTGAGGACTGCCAAATGTCTATGTCCATCCTTTCTTGCCTGGAGTTTCATAATAGTCTCCTGATTGATCTCCCAGCTATTACACTTGACTATAGCCTGTTCTAAACACAGCAGCAAAGAAACATACACTCTTCTACTTGAAGCTGTTCAATGACTCCTCGTTTTAGAATAAAAATCAAAAACACTGCCATGGCTTAAAAGTTTCTGACCTCAGCTGCTGCTCTGCCCCAGTCAGTCAGCTTCATGCAGCTAGGCAAAGACACACTCCTACCTTAGAATCTGCACTGGTTGTTCCTTCTAGCCACATATCTGCCTGTCTGACTCCACCCCTTCGATTCCTCAAAGATCACCTTCTCAAGAATCCTGTTTAATACCGCAATGCCCCTTTCTACCCTGCCAAGACTTCAGAACCCACTTACCCTACTCAATGTTCTCTGGAGCATTTGCCAACTTCTAACATACTATCCTAATTATACTGTATATTGGGTTAGCCAAAAATTGCTTTCAGTTTTTAAGTAAAAATAAAAGGCATTTTTCATTTTCACGAAGAACTTTACTGAACAATGTATTCACCCTTTTATTCCACTACCTTCTGCCATTTTTCAGGCAACCTCATAATTCCATCTTCCCAAAACTTTTTATCTTTTTGAAACAAAGAATTGTTCCAGGTGCCTTATACAGCCTTCCAGGGAATTGAAATTTTTTCCATTAAGAGAATTTTGTAAAGACCGAAATAAGTGGAAAGCCGAACGTGCAATGGCTGGTGAATACAGCGGACGAATCAGAACTTCCCAGCCAAGCTGTAACAGTTTTTGCCTGGTCATCAAAGAAACATGCAGACTTACGTTATCCTGATGGAAGTTTATGCGTTTTCTGTTGACTAGCTCTGGATGCTTTTTGTCAGGTGCTGCTTTCAGTTGGTCTAATTGGGAGCAGTACTTGTTGGAATTAATCACTTGGTTTTCCAGAAGGAGCTCATAATAGAGGACTCCCAATCCCACCATATACACAACATCACCTTTGGATAAAGACCGGCCTTTGGTGTGGTTGGTGGTGGTTTATTTCGCTTGCCGCACGATCTCTTCCGTTCCACATTATTGTACAGTATCCACTTTTCATCGCCCATCACAGTTTGTTTTAAAAACGGAACATTTTCATTACGTTTCAGTAGAGAATCACATGCGGAAATACGGTCCAGAAGGTTTTGCTTATGTGGAATCCAAACATCAAAGCGATTCACGTAACCAAGCTGGTGCAAATGATTTTCAACACTTGATTTGGATTTTTTGAGTATGTCAGCTATCTCCTGCATGGTTTAACGTTAATTGTTCTCAATTAATGTCTCGATTTGATCACTATCAACTGTAACTGGTCTACCTGACCATGGAGCATCGTCCAGCCAGAAATCTCCAGCACGAAACGTTGCAAACCACTTTTGACACGTTCAATCAGTCACAGCACCTTCTCCATACACTGCACGAATCTTTGTTGGCGTTTCGGTTGCATTTTTTCCTTTATTGACATAATAAAGCATGATATGCCAAAAATGTTGCTTTTTTTCTTCCAACTTCAATATTAAAATGGCTACACAAAAATCCACCAATTTTGATAAGTCTTTTTTTAAATGCTGACATGACAGCTGTCACATATAATCTAACAAAATTGTTTCGAATGAAGCTAAAGACAACTAAGTGCTACTAGAGCCATCTTACGGAAAAAAATGGACGAGCCTTTTGGCCAACCCAATAATTTACCATATTTTTAGTGTCTCCCCCTGGTAGAATGTAACATGGCTAAAATGCCACAAAGGTAAGGATTTTTGCATTTTATTCATTGATAATCCCATACATGTAAAACAATGCTTAGTACATAGTAAGCTTTCAATAAATAAAAGTAGAAGGCAGTGTTTTATGCTGAGGATATAGTGGTAAACAAGATAGGCAAACTCTCATGGAGTTTACATTCTACTATGCAGAGGCTAATTAATAAGCTGATTTCAGAGAGTAGTGTTATGAGGACACTGAAGCATTCTAAGGTGATCATTTGTAAGAGCTCACATAGAATGGTTAGAAAAAGTCTCTGAGGAATTCATTTGAGCTGAGTCCTGGACGATGATTTGGAGCCAGCCTAGTGAAGATCTCAAGGAAAGGCATTTGAAATGGAGGCAACAAAACGTGCAGAACCCTTGGCTTTAAGAATACCAGGCTGTGCTAAAGAATGAGTTCTCAAAGTGCTTAGGTTCCTAATCTCGACCCCAGAACTCCTAAACTCACCTTCGATGAACTACTTTCAGTAACTCAAAGGGGACATGCTCTTTCTGATCCTGGGGCATGTTTCCTGTCTGGAAAATCTTTGTTCCCTGACTCTCCCTCTCCCATTCATCAGACTAACATTCCTTCTTCAGGTCAGACTAGATTTCACTCTCCCTGGGAAGCCTTTCCGCCCATGCTGGGCACAGGACCATGTACAGGGTGCTCCTTCAACTCACTATCCTTCCTCCCCATTTTGGAAACCATAGGAGGAACTCAAATCAGTTCTGATGGGTAGAAAACAGCAAGTGGGATTTAATTTTAGCAAGTGTGATGGAAACTAAAACAAATGAAATCTAATTTATCAAAATCCTAAGAAACTGTAGATTTATTCCTAGAAGTTGTACATTTAAAATTAATATAGCCACAAATAAGAAAGTAAAATTCTGGTCATCATAAAGAGTTGATAAAAGAAACAAGATCTGAGACAAAGCCTAGACAGACTACTACATACAGTTCCAGTCTGTATTCTTCAAGAAATACGTAAGAATAGGAAACAAGAGCAAATAAAAGATGAAGGAATGGTATTTCTAGAAGGAAAAACTAAAACTTGGTATGCTATAAAGTGATGGATAAGATCAAAAAGCACAAACGCACTAAAAGGTTTGAATAGAATGAACTTGGATTTAATCATAAAATCAGGATACTGAAAGTTGGGTGTATGTGAGGGAGTAAAAGCTGGGGGTGGGGCGGGTATGACCTGTAGCTACTTACAGACTGAACAGTCACAATACAATTACTCCATAGAAACTGTTGCCCCCAAATGTATTAACAGCTGCAAAGATTTGGATAAATTAATAGCTGGTAAGTCTGTATCAGGAAAAGTCTTTTGAGGCTGACCATCATGTTATCCTCAGAGCAGCCCTAGTGTCACTGTGAGTTAGAATCCTGGGCTGATTTGACACTTGGTCTCATCCAAAGTAGTCCTCACGCTTCAGACTGCCACACTACTGGTGAACTATTTCTAAATGAAATTACTACGTTTCATAATTTCTAATGAAATTAATATTTAGGTATCCCCTGTCTTTTCTTTGAAAACCCTCTTCACTTTGTGTATGGCTGCTGGGGAGATACACCTGGATAGCCCCTCCTGCCATAACCAGCCTCCCTCCCTATCCACCCTTTCAACCTCCACCAGTTCAAAATCACTGAAGGAATTAACTATATGTAGCAGGCTGCCAATAATTCCTTCTATTCCCAATCAAACACGCTGCTTCACTTATCAAGATGAGTGTTTCCATTTCCCCTTAAATCTGGGCCAACCTTGTTACTTTCTTTGATCAACAGAATGCAGAAGTGACACTTTTCTGGGCCTGGCCCTCAAGGAGCCTGACAGCTTCTACTTTCACTCTTTTGGAGCCCTGAGCCACCACGTAAGAAACCTCTGTAACTAACTACTGGGACTGACTGAGAGAGAGAGGCCCAGCCACCCCTAGCCATTTCAGCCACTCCTGGTAAGCACTAGGCATGAGTGAAGCCATTTGGGAACATTCCAAACCCAGCCAGGGTCCCAGCTGTATGAAGCCTTATGAGTGACCCCAGCTAACAGCAGGAGGGGCAGAACCACCAGCTGAGTCCAGCCAAAAAATATATAATAAATCATGGTTTAAAGCTTAAAATTTAAACCACAAAGATTTACGTTGGTTTACTATGAAGCAAAAGATAATCATTTAACAGAATTTAAACCAGGGTGTTAACTCTCTCAGGAATATTTATATCTTAAGTATTTTCTCTAAGAAATAAACAGTATAGAGATCCTTCACAACATTCAGATAAAGTGGCCCAAGAGAGGAAATTAATAATCCAGAAAGATCATTCTATCATTGTCCAATTCCCAACTTCAAAAAAAATCTATAATTTATAATGATAGTGATAAATTAAAGGACCTATGTGCTAAAATACTTTATGCTGAAAGACCAGATTACATGCAGTTATGGGTTTTCCTATCATTTGTTCAGCTAAGAATTGAATCACAATTTAGAGATTATCAGCAATTTTGGTAACTACCATCTTATATTTCTACAGGTTTTATGTAAGCATGAAGAGAAAATATGTACTTAAAATGGAAAAAATATCAGGTCTTAGAACAACAGAATAAAAGAAGGGTAACAGGTGATCTATTTGGATGTAGAAAATTGGTAGCAACAATTTTATTTGGATTAGAAGTTTTCATTGTTTTATTCACATAAAATGGGAAAGCTACCTTTTGGGGGTATAAAATACTAAACAAACTAACCACTTAAGTATGGAAGCTTTATGGAAGATAA